TTTAAGAATAGAATGTAATTTTTTATAAGGAATTTTTTTCTTTTTTCAAATTTCTTGGGATGGATCGTGCCCCTTTGGACCTCCATTAATCTCCGCCATGCTCAAGTATCCAATAATATTTCTACTGTAATTTGATAGGTGCAATAAAAGCACCAAATCTAATTCGATAAATAGCAGCATCCACTGCCATGATTAAAGAACATGTAATAATAAATATGAAACAGTTGAAAATAAATCCTGACATGGACGGTCCAGTGCAACCCTGGATTGGAATATGAGTGATCTGGCCAATGTCGTTTAGGCTTTAAACCATGTACCGTTGCCCAGTTGCAGATGAGAATAAAGAGAGGAAAAATATCAAAATGCCATTAATGTTTCTTCTGTGTATTTCACTTGTACAATATGTTTAGCCATACGTATATATGTGCTTGCTTTAATTTTGCTCAGTGCCTTCATATCTCTGTTAGCATTTTACATTTTATTTTATTTTTACACTATATCCATTATTTTTCTACTATTCTTAAAGTCTAAAATTTAGGTAGTCTACTCTCTATAGCTATTCTTTGAGTTTAGGACTCGGTTATTTATTTGATTTTTCTTTTTCAAATCTCAAGGAATATATATCATTTTAATTATTTTATTTTGTTATTTCTCATGTCAAAACTAAAAAAGAATTACAAAAAATATATATTTTTTTCTTCTTTTCATTTCAATTTTACAAGAAATAATCTTTTATTATAGAACAAAGGAAAAAACAAAAATATATGATAATAATTTATAAAAGAAAAAAAACAAAAAATATATGATAATTAATTTATAAAAAAAAAAAAAAAAGCACTTGGTCACTATATATATATTATATAGTATATTATATATAGGATATTATATATTATTTATTTATTTAATTGATGAGTTGATTCAATTCTATGGCCATAATTTAAAATTTTAAATCAATATTCCAATATTCTTTAGTGGCCATATTTAAAATTTTAAGTCAATACCTCTAATTTTTTTTGTCAGCAAACAATCTATTCTTATTAAATATTAAAAATTTTTATCAATTTTAATGAATTAATCGCGGCCGTATATTTTTTAGATATATATATTTATTTATTTATTTAATTGATGAGTTGACTTCAATTCTATGGCCATAATTTAAAATTTTAAATCAATATTCCAATATACTTTAGTGGCCATAATTTAAAATTTTAAGTCAATACTCTAATTTTTTTTTTGTCAGCAAACATCTATTCTTATTAAATATTAAAAATTTTTATCAATTTAATGAATTAATCGCGTAATATTTTTTTAAAGTTATACGTGTATTTTCTTAAATGAAATTGACACCGCTGATTTCGATTTCAGAGCCTGCTAAAAGGAGATTTTTTTTTCCTTTAAATATGATGGGGAAAGAAATTTATTGTTAAAGAAAAAAAAAGCTGACAGCCATTGCATCTCTAGACATGCAAGTGATCTGATGAAGGTACAGGCCTTAAACCAGATCCTGCTGTCCACATGCACAAGAGAGTAAAGACTGGAAAATATCAACATATCATTAATGTTTCTTCTGTATATTTCACTTATACAATATGTTTAATTTTGCTCAGTGCCTCCATGCTTTTGCTTGTCTCTGATAAAGACTTTGTATTTCTTTTGCTATTCCAGATTATTTATTTAATTAAATCACTGTATCCATAAATTTATGAAACTTCTGGACCAGTCAAAATAAATGAGGGTTTGTTGGAGCAACAATAAATTATCTCAACAACAAAAATTAATTAAACCATTTCATTATATATATATATATATATATATTCATATTCATATCAACAGGGTTTAAGAAATTACAATTTAAATATAGTTATTATTGTTATTACATACTAAAATTGTTAAAAACATATTTTTTAAGTAAAACAGAATTATAATTGTAATGCAAAAATTAATTCACTTCATCATCAAATAATAGAAAGTATATACCCTATTTATAGGGAAAATAAAATTAAAAAAGAAGAATTAGAAATATATTAAATAGAAAGTAGTTCTACAATTCTACAAATTGTAGAATTGTTTTCCCAATAACCTACCAATATTCATAATGCTATGCGGGCTTGTTTTGCAATTCTACAATTTGTTATTAAACCTCAACTAAGGTACACTTTGCTATCACAGACGAATCAATTACAGAATTGGGTAATGTGAAGGGTATAAAATTGTAATTTAAATTTCCTATTTTAAAAGGTGGGCTTATTTTCATAGAGAGTTCCTCCATTTTAATTTTGTTTCTTAAAACTGTCTCATTTTCTATATTTATAACACAAAACTGAATATGTCTGAAAAAATTGTCGGACAGCTGACATGGCAAGTCAGGTAATAAAGAATTGATTTTTGACCAGCTCAGCAATAAAATATCAGGCTTGCTTTCTCTCACTTCATCTAAACAATTAATTTCTATGCCCTAATTCCTCTCCACGCTCCTCCCTCACCTCATCCAAGCTTTGAGCGTCCTATTTGAAATGTATTTGAATTTCTTAATTCCAACTTTACAAAAGTTTAGGATCTGCTACTACTATTAATGGTTGGCTTTGCATCTTAAACCTACTCCACAACAATCACAGACCCACATGCCAATCATTAATGCCCGACAAAGTTGCTGCCTTTCTTTCACCATTTGAATAAAATAAAAATTGTAACTTTACAAATTTTCCCTCTTTTAATTTATAAAACAAATATGATGTAACATTCTCTTTATAAGTCAAAACTTGTCTTATTAGTCTAAAATTTGCTCATCTTTATATACATAACTTTCACTTTATGCTTAATCAATATGAGATTCGTCGAGTCTATCACATATCAGATCTTTAAAAACTTAAAATGAGAATATCCACCAAAGAATAGCAAAATCTGACCTAAAAATGAGGCCATGCAACGGCATGAGATTTTTGAAGTGCAAGGATATGTAAAGGCTACCATTGATCTAAATGATTATACTTTACGATAATGGATATGCAAATGGCCTCTTTTGTCCATTTCACTTTTATCTTTTTTCCATTTACATTTTGGAAAAACTTATCTAAATCAGATCTATGAACCCACTTATAAATCAGATTAATAAAATTAATGAATTTTATTGAAATGAAAGTATTTCTGATCATATATTTGGAAATAGTTAAGAGTTCTTTTTGTATTACAAATATAGAAAATAACTAAATTTTAAGAAGAAATTAAAAATGAGGAACGGTAAAATAAGGATCCCTAAATTGAGGAACCTTCAGTGAAAACAAGCCTTTAGAGGAGCAATGACTTAACTATAATGACACTTCTCTCCTGCCGCACATCAGGGCTTGGTGTAATGTTTGAAATGAATTATCAATGGATAAATGTCTAAATTCATCCTTGTATTTTATGTTAAAATTCTCCTGGCACGTGGCACCCTCAACTTTCATTTTGATTTATTTGACACTTCAATTTATAAAATTGTACTAATTACATACTTCAACTTGCAAAAACTATTTTATTAAATATTCAAACTTCTAAAATTAGATCAATTAAACACTTGTTAGATAATTGAAAAAAGTAAAAATTATTATTCCAAATATTATACTAACCACACATGAACCGAATATCTTGCACATAAATGTCAAACACACCAAAAAAAAAAAATGTTATTGTTAGTATAGAGAAGGACACAGTTAGCAAAATCCATAACTTCAGGGGCATATTTCAAAGTTTGGAGTACCAAAAAATTTTTTTCCACAAAGTACAGGAATATGTTTATGTATTTGGTCAATTATCAATGAGAATCATTCTTTTCTCTCGCTACATGCCTTCATGTGTCATGCTGTCTGTTTTTTTTTTTTTTTTTTTTTTTTTTTTTTTTTTTTTCTGTTTTTTTTTTTTTTTCTTTTTTTTTGTTTTTTTTAATCTTTTTTTTTTTTTTTTTTTTTTTTTTTTTTTTTTTAATCAGTAAATAAATTTATTTTATGATGAATTATCAAGAAAAATTAATCACATCCCAGCATTAAATGGAGTCAATAGACATTCCAATATACTCAAACCGAATTAAATTGAATTAAAGAATGATAAGTAAAAACTTAGTCCGGAAACATATCCAACAAATCAAAAAAGCTCATATGACTTGTCTTGTATTCATAATTCATCCAATCATGATACTGCATCGACAGGCTCATGAAAAAGGATAAAACACTTCCTCCCAGAGTATTAAAAGGAACTTCAGACATATCTAAGTTCGAGTTCAAGAGTTTTGATTAAAAGAAGATGAACATCTACCATCTCATCTCATCTCATCACTTGGATGCATATCACTTGCGTTTCTATTATGATGTCTGATGTTATATAATATTATCTTTCTAAGGGCTTATTTGGCTTGTAAATAATTAATTGAATCTCTTAATAGTTAATGACAGACTCATTTAAGCGTGTTTCAACAAGCGCCGCGGTATCTTTTGTTTGATATATTATACAAAATCAGTAATTGTGATTGTATAAATTCAATATCAGTTTACTTAATTTTCATTTTACATGTATAAATAGAGAAAAAGGTAAAATTAGAAAAAAAAATTATTCACTATTACTTAATTTTCACAAAAATATAAAATATCTTGAATAAAATAATAAACAAAAATAGATGGAAGGAATACCAATTAATTGAACCAAAACCCTAATAACTTTCATTCAATTTAATACAGTACACTGATTTACCTAATAAGACATCTGTTTTATAAAGATTTTATTGAGAAAGAGCTTTTTTTTTTTTTTTTTTTTTTTTTGTGCAAAAGCAATATTTTGTTTTGTTAATGAGGGAAAAAGCAATATCTTTAAGGAACAACTAATTACAAATTGTCTAGGAAAAGAGGGACATATATTATATATTCATTTTGATAGAGGAAATTTTTTTTTTTTTTTTTTTTCTTTTGGTGCAAACATATTTTTGTTTTTTGTTAATGAGGGAAAGCAAATATCTTAAGAACAACTAATTACAATGTCTAGGAAAAGAGACATATATTATATATCATTTTGATAGAGAATAACAAAAGAAAACATATATTAATTAATGCAGAAAACAACAAACTCTCATTATTACTTTTGTATCAATTTCAAGCCCATCTCCTACTAATCCTAACCTTCAAACCATACTTCATATGAAGCATAATAGAAGCATATTTAGGAAGCACAGGGTGTTTTTCAACTACCTCAATATTATAGTTATGAATAAGAAAAGCAGCCATTGCTTTCATTTCAACGAACGCAATTTCTTTTCCCAGACAAATTCTTGGGCCTGCATTAAATGCAAGAAACTGGTATGGTGATCTCTGTATAAACCTCCCTTCCTCTGATATCCATCTTTCTGGCTTGAATTCAAAACAGTCTTCTCCCCATATACATTTCAATCTCCCCATCAAATAAGAAGATAAAATAATTTTCATTCTTGGATCTACATGATGCCCACTTGGTAAAATATCATTTTGCAAGGGTACCTTATACTCATACGTAACTGGAGGATAAAACCTTAATGTTTCACATATAGCTGCATGCAAATACACTAATTTATTTACCTTTTCTATATCAAGAAGCTGAACCTTTTTCTCTTCTCTTTTGTTTTCCGGGACTATAGATCTCAACTCTTCTCTTATCTTCGCTTCCACGCCTGGCGTTTTTGACACAAGCCAAAACAACCAAGTTAAGGAATTTTCTCTGCCTGCAAGCATGAAATTTAGAATAGTATCTCTTAAAAATTTATCTGATCTATCAATATACCATGATAACAAATCGACTCCGACTCCTTCTCCTACTCTTCCTTGTCGTCTCATTGATATATATTTGGTGGTTATTTCATCAACTGTTTTTAAAGCAGCTTTCACTTTTCTTTCTGTGCCAATCCCTAACCAATTTTGGAACTTCCAAAGCATTTTGGACTGGAAATGGCGATAAAATAAAGCTTCCTCCATACAGTCCAGCGCAAAACCAAGTTTATCATCTAGTGAACCAATAGACAGAGTCTCTCGATCAAGACCTGTAACTAAAATGAAAGTAACATCAGCAGTAAATCTATGAACCAGATCTTGTAAGTCTATTTCCTTGTTTTCTGTACAAATATGTTCAAGAACAGGAAAAAGTCCTTTTTCGACTTTAACATGAGCTGTGTGGAATAAGAACCTCTGAAACCTTTCATGGTTGATTAAAGAAACAGCACTCTTTCTTTGATTCTTCCATAAATCAGAATCAGAGTTAAAAATCCCATCTCCAAGAATATCGGAGTACATTTCTTTGAATTCCGAACCTTTTGGATAGTTGCAGAAGTTTGTACTCATAATGTGCTTTATATTTTCTGGATCAGTAGTGCATATTGCGTACAAGCCGGTAAACCAAGGGCCTTTAAAGACTAAAGTGCCGCCTCTTCGACCAGCAACCTCGATCATCCAGTCCGCTAACCGGTTCATGTTGCTTAAAAGGGATGGTAGCATTCCAATTAGTGGCCAGCTTCTTATAACTTTTCTGCGGTTGCGTGACAGGCGGCGACGGGCTACTACTAAGCAAAGAGTTGCTAAGATGATTCCAAAGATCCCTACCAATGCCATTGCTTTTTTAAGTGTTTAAGTGTTTTGCTTTTGTTTTTTGTTTTTTGGCTTTTTGAATCGGATATCTAAACTACGAAACTAGTCTTCTTTTATAGATGTCGGGAGTTTTATTAAGTGTACTCCGTGCATGTGACAATGTCGCATCATATTGATTTGGGATAAACTTTTATTTTTATTTTTTTTTTGTGAGGTAATTTGGAATAAACTTGAAATTAGGGTGGAGCATAATTCAAGTAAAAACCAAAATAATTGAACCCAACCATGCTATTTTTGGTCTATTCAGTTTGTTTAATTTTGTATGTTTGATTATGAAATATAGAATTTCAAATATTGATTATCAGTTTGGTTTATATTTAAATGAACCGATAAGACTAAATTCGCCAAAAATAAAATAGTTTTAAGGTCCGGTACAGCATTAAAATCTTAGATTAGATTTATTTCCTGAGATCTTTAGCCCTAGATCCTTTGGCCTCTTCTTAGGTTAGATTTATTTTGCTAGAGACCGGAATAATATTCTAATCAAAACTTAAAGGGACAATTTATCAAATGCCATACACGAGGTTTCAACTTTAACAAAATGTTATAAAAGAAAAATAATAAATTCGGTAAAAAAATTTAATAATACCAAAATTTACCTTGCAAAAAAACACGAGAAACGTTGGAAAAAGGAAATATTGAAAAAAGGAAACATTGAAAAAAAAGAAACGATAAAAATAGAAAACACAAAAGGAACACAAAAAAAGGGAACACTCAAAAAAGGAAACATGAAATCTATAGAACAAATCCTTATATAGCTTATGTGATTCAACCACGGCGATGACGACCGGTGACGACAATTGACGATCGGCAACTGCGATAATAAGGACAGTAAATACGATATATACGGTGTATATATATATATATTTTGTATCAATAAATATTGTAAAATCAATTAAATACAGAATAAATATATATATACCAATTAACACATTTGATCACCAAGTAAATACATTGTGTATGTGTATATATGTATACACTGTACTATATTAGTAAATACTGTAAAATTAATTAAATACAAAATAGATATATGTAAACCAATTAACATATTAGATCAAACTAAGGAAATACGGTGTATATATATACTGTATCAGTATCAATCAAAAAGAATCGAGAGTCCTACATTGTCTCTATAGTATTTACTGATTGTATAAAAAATTGATAGAGATATTTCCAACAATAAACAATAGATGAAAAACAGAAATCAACATATCTTGTGAATAAAAAACAAAACTATGGAATAACACCAATAATGAGAAAAACGACAACAAAAAGAGAAAAAAACGATAAGACAATAATGAGAGCAAAAAAAAACGGCAGCAGAAAAAATATTAATATACTAAAAAAAAGGAAATAACCATGAAAATAGGAAATTAATACAAAAGGAAATACTAACATATTAAAACACTGAAATGTTAACAAACCAATGCTCTTCTAATAAAAAAGGGCACAATAGTAAAAGTATATCATAAATGATAATAATTTAAATTTTAAAGTCAAACTAATATTTTTAAAATTAAGTTTCAAAATTGACATTTAGTACAATATCCCGTGGCAATTAACAAATGTCATATATGAGGTTTAAATTTTAACAAAATGTCAGAAAATATACATATTAAGATAATAACAAATTCGGTAAAAAAAATTTCAATAATACCAAAATTGATCTTGCAAGAGAAACGAGAAAAACTGAAAAATAAAAACACTAAAAAAAGGAAATGATAAAAAAGGGAAACTACGATAAAAGGAAACACTGGAAAAAAAAGGAAACACTCTAAAAAGGAAACACTAAAAGAAGGAAATACAAAATTTGTAAGAGTAAATCCCTATACAACTTATGTGTTTCAATTACGATGATGACAACCAGTGACGGCAACTGAGGACCGGCAACTGCAACAACTGCAACATATATATATATATATAATATACTATACGAGTATCAATCTAAACAGAATCAAGAGTCCTATATTGTCTCTACATTATTTACTGATTTTATAAAAAATTGATAGATATATTAATAACACCAATAATGAGAAGAACAATAGCAAAAAGAGAAAGAACGATAAAAAAATAATGGACGATAACAAAATGAGAAAAAACGATAAAAAAATAATGAATACTAAAAAAAAGAGCAGCAGAAAAATATTAACATACTAAAAAAAAAAAAAAGAAACAACCATGAAAATAGAAAATTAATACAAAAGAAAAGACTAACATATTAAAACACCGAAACATTAACAATTTAAAATTATTCGTACCGATTTATGGCATAACTCACAAGTCTCGACAATATTATACATATCCATTTGCTTCTAATATGTCAATTTAGTACTATGGAATTTTGCCTTTCTTAGTAGTCTACGGAAATCTTTTAGAATCTTACAATAGGTAATAGGAGCTAATTAGATGTTTAACTTCTTCTATTCCATTAATTCCCATTCTTTAATTTGGACCTTCCTCCTCTCCTCTTTTACTCCTAAAACATATAAGTGCAATTTCACTTTCAATCAATAAGTGTAATTTCATTTTATAACATCCAGGTTGGCATATCTGTCAATGGCAGAATCAATTAATTGTAGTCCTTTCACTTAGTTCCTAAATCTAACAAGCTGCTGCTAGTTATCAATTAGGGTTTGCTTTGGTTAGGTAAAGGTCTTAAATTCAAATCAATGAACTCGGACAGGTAGATATAGAAATAGTTTTTTTTTTTCTTAAGAGGATAGATGAGCTAGAATAACACCATGTGCTAACAATAAATGATAGCCTTCTCTTAATTCACCAAATTGGTAAAAATTCTTATGCTTAAAACTTTATTTTATAAATTATATTCACACATCAGGAGTGGAATGTGCGTATGAACGTTATATATAAATTAGCATTTGTATTTTGAAAATTGGACCAAACCGGTTAGCTTGTGTCCGGTTTTCTATTGCAAACCAAGCTGCTTTAATTTTAAAGAAAAATTAATTTTTTATTACATAAACTAATTAGAGGAAGTTATTAAGACATAAAAATTCATTCTCTAAGGTTATGAGTTCAAATGTTAGAATTCACCACTTTTTTTTATTAAAGAACTCCCATCTTCAAATCTGCCAACTTCTTTTTTTCCTGAAAAATTTTTCTTTAAAAAATTAACTTAATCTACTAACTTATTTTTTTAAAACAATTTCATATAAAAAAGGGATAATGATAAAATTTGGTGTCTGCAATTTCTAAATAGAAAACATTTGCAATCGAATTTTGAATGTTTTAAAAAATATAATAAGAGTCTATTTGTTGAATAGGATGCTGAAAATCTGACTCACTCAAAATGGGTCCCACATTTGTCCAGTTAGCTGCATACGTGGACTGCCATGAAGGTGCTGACATGGAAACATTTTAGATGAAGTGGCAATAACAAAGGAAAGTCATATTTAATGAGACGAACCAAACTTATTTATTTTGAAGCATAATGTATACTTAATCAAAAGAGTAAACAAAAAACTACTACCGCTGTATTGTTTATTTATTAATTTATTTGTTTTGATAATAATAACATTAATTAATTAATATGCATTTACAGGGAGCACAAGCCTTATTAATGGAGATTAAGTCGAAGGAGACGATATTTTCCTTGTGATTTCCACTTCATCCAAGTCTTTTTCCATGTCAACACATTCATGGCAGTCCACCTATGCAGCTTACTGGGCAAATGTGGGGCTCATTTTGAGTGAGTCAAATTTCGGGTATCCTAGACACCTAATTATTGTTCTTAAAAGTCCAGATACTCAGTTGCAAATGTTTTATTTTTACACTAAAATAGAAAAAATTAGAAAGCTCAAACACCAAATATATCAGTATCATTATAATAAATAAAATGTCAAAAAATTATAAATGAGTAGTCTAAATTTTTCTTAAAAGATCAACTCTAATATGGTGTATCAATTTTAAAATAGTTATACTATAATCAATTATTTGTTAATTATTCATTTACTTAATTAATAAAATCTTAAAAAAATTTAATTCTAAAAATATCAAAATATATTATATTACATCAATGTTTTATATTTTGTGCCAATGATGAATGCTTTAAAAATTATTATAATATTTTTAATTATTTTTTTGACACATGTAATTCATCAATAGTATTATATATCAAGTATTACAAATACTAAATTAAATCAGACATAATAAGTAGAGAGTTTAATCTTTTAACTATTCTTTTAAATAATAAACTAAAATTAAAGATACAATATTAGACTTTTTTGCCTAAAGATACACTGATAGTAGATATAAATCTTTATAGTAATAACTGATTCTTTAATTTGTTTGGACGACAAAATAACTTCTTTAGATATTTTATATTTGCATTATATTTTCAAAAACATGTCTTTTTGATAAGCAAAGAACTTTATTAATCGTGAAGAGGGAAAAACAACTTGTGGCCAAGACAACTACATCTGAGCCAAATGGACTCACCCAAAAACACCCAAAGCCTATAGACTTGGGATTGAGAAAAATCCCATTGAGCTGCAACAACATTAAAAGTAAAAATAGAGAATAGAAAATAGCAGCACTATGATGTATTACAGGTCAGTATATAAAATCTGCAGCATTCTTCGAAATAGAACTTAAGCAAAGTTCTGAACTAAACTCAGCAGAGATGTGAAAAATAGCTGTAAAATAGGGAACGATACATGTAGGATCTAAATAATCAAAGCTTAGCATAAAATCTTCTGATATGGAGTTACCTTGTTTAGCTAGAGAGTCTGCAAAACTATTAGCTGACCTCAGATGACGTACAAAATCAAAATCTTCCAAAAACTGGTTGCATATGACGTACACAGATAAATTCTTGCTACTATACATCAATAGCATCAACAAAAGAACAAGCCGCACCTCGAGACTCCATTGATTGAAGACATACATATGCAATTCAAGATCTAAATTATATATCTAATATCATATATATTAGATATTAAAGTTGGTGAGATATTAAGATTGAAATTATTTTTACGACAAAATATTTTTGTAATCCTCAATCAATAATTTCAGTAAATAGTTT